GGACAAAAGAAATGTTTGCTTAATTGTGTTCTACAAAAAGCTGTTAACTCTGCAGGAAGGTAGTGTACTGAGTAAATTTTTTAAGATTTGTTCATTTTTATATGAAAGATTTTCATAGGAAAGGAGATATAGAGAGAAAGCTCTTCCATCCATTGGGTTACTTCCCAAATGGCCAGAGCTGAGCCAGACAGGAGCCAGGAACTTCTTCTGGGTCCCCCATGTAGATTCAGGGTCCTAATGCTTTTGGCCATCCTCTACTGCCTTCCCAAGCCATAAGCAGGAAGCTAGATGGGAAGTGGAGCAATCTGGACATGAACCAACACCCGTATGGGATACTGGTGTCATGGTCGGAAGCTTCTACATCATGGTGCTGGCCCTCTTTTTTTTCCTATGTAAACTAGTTGAAAATCCTAGCAAAGTGAACTATGGATTCTAAACATGAGAAAACTTATTCATTACCTTGAAAGCAGTGTCTTGGGAAAGATAAAAGGTGTATGTGTTGGAAAGAGTTAAGCAGAGATTGCATTCACTGTTCATTTCCTCAGTGATTGTAGTGGATGGGGTTTGGCCAGACAAGGTCAGGAGACTGGAACACCGTTCTGGTTTCCTATGAGGGTGGCAGAGGACCACTTTATTTGATATCAGTTGCCATCTTCCAAGAACATTGACAAGGAGCTGGATTAGAAGCAGAGCAACAGGAAATTGAACCACTGCTCTAATTTTGCTGTCATTACAAATGACGGCCTAAACTGTGTCAGAATGCTGGCCCTTATAAAATTAAAATTAGAAAATGTATATTAAAGACAGAAGGAGAAGTAGAGATCTTCTATCCACCTGGCTTCAATGACTGGGAATGAGGCTAGAACCACAGATTTCCTCTGGGTCTCTCACGTGAATGGCAGGGGCTCAGGATGTGGGCCATCTTCCACTGCTTTCCCAGGCACATTTGCAGGGAGCTAGATTGGAAGTGGAGCAGCCTGATCTTGAACTGGCATCCATATGGGATGATGGCACTGCACGTGAAACCTTAGTGCACTGAACCCCACCCCATAAGATTCTTGAGTGGCAAAGGATGTGATGAAATATGCATGGAAGAACAAAGGCACTCATCCAGAGAACAAATAAAAGACAGCAGAATGATAAAAGTTATACCATCAGCATGAGGATCTCTGTAATATAAAGGTGATCTTGGTACTTCTGTTATGTCCCTTCCACTTTTTTCATTCATTTTCACTTTATTTGAAAATTCTGTCTACTAGTCTTTGTGCAGATGCATGCAGCTAGGGTTGTGCTGGGGAAAGAAAGCCAGGGGCTGGCTGGGTTACGCATGTGGATGGCAAGGACCCAGGTACTTGAGTCTTCACTGCTGCTTTCCAGGGTGCATATGAGCAAGAAGCTGGATCTCAGGTTGAGCTGGGACTCAAACCAGACACTTATATGGGATGAGGGCGCTTCAAGCTGCAATCTTTCTTTCTTTCTTTCTTTTTTTTTTTTTTTAAGACATTTGTTTGTATTGGAAAAGAGATTTACAGAGAAAGGTCTTCCATCAACTGGCTCACTTGCCCGATGGTTGCAATGGCTGGAGCTGAGCCAATCCAAAGCCAGGAGCCAGCAACTAGGAGCTTCTGTGCTTCACATATGGAGCCAGGGGCCCGAAGTCTTCGGCCATTCTCCACTGTCTTCTCAGGAGGCCATGAGTGGAGAGCTGGAGGCAAACCAGCGCTCACATAGGATTCTGGTGCTTGCAGGCAGAGGATTTAGCTAATTGAGCCATTTCACTGTTCCCCACCCCCAAGCCACAATCTAAGCATTATGAACCCAAATGCCTGCCTCTTGACATCATCCCTGAGTGGAGGTGACTAGTCTTAAACATTAGTCTTTTGATCCAGGAGTCCACTTATTTTCATTCTCAAATATTTAAACTGAAGCATGACTTAGACTGATACACTAGTTTCAGGTAGCCAGAATTAGAGCATTTGAATTTCACATTAAGTATACTTAACATTGACATTTACTAAAAGATACTAAATTCCTTGAGTGTTTGCATAGTTACAATATCTGGAGATCTAAGAGATGTCATGTTGAAATATTACACAGCTATCTTGATCTATGTTGTTAACTGTAGGGTTTGTTGGAGCCCTTGTCATGCTGCGGCAATCACTGTTTTCCATGCTCAAATACATCTCCAATATGCTGTTCCAAGTTGGTATCCCACTCCTAGTCATATTACACCTTGAAAGAAACCTAGAGATGGGAGTCATAAATCAAAAGAGGGAGTGACTTTTCTAAGCCTAGTGTTTTTCAAAATATTCTAAAATCTGAATTTAACATTCAAACCACTTCATGTAATAAGTGACACAACTAACTTACTAGAGACTTTATGATGTGGTACATTCACCTTTTTGTTGCCATGTTTGTCTCAGGAAAGGAGTAGAAAGTCATAGGTGTTGCATTTCAGTAGGCATGATACTTGGAATTTGCCATTAAAGGTCCCATGTGAATGCGGTTGAAATTTCTGCAATTGAAATTCTCTCACAATTATGCAAGGAAGAGAATAGAATTATTAGCATCTGCAAGGAAAAAGCCACAATAAATGTGTAAGTTAAGAAATACTTTATCTAGGCCTAGCGTGATGGCACCGGGATCCCATATGGGCAGTGGTTTGTGTCCCAGCTGCTCCATTTCCCATCCTGCTCCCTGCTTGTGGCCTGGGAAGGCAGTAGAGGATGGCCTAAGTGCTTGGGACCCTGAACTCATGTGGGAGATCTGGAAAAAGCTGCTGGCTCCTGGCTTTGGGTCACCCTAGTTTTGGCTATTGTGGTCACCTGGGGAGTGAACCAGTGGATAGAAGATGTGCCTCTCTCTAAATCTAACTTTTCAGTAATAATAAAGAAATACATTATCCTAAAAATTGTTTTCCACTTTATTTGAAAGACAGGTGAAGTTAAATTTGCCTTCTGTTTCCCTCACCAGATGCTTACAGCAGCTAGAGCTTAACCATGCCTAACCAGGAGCCAGAGCTCCTTCCAGGCTTCCCACATGGGTGGGAGGCGCCAGGTCTAGAACCAGGCACTCTGATCTGAGACACAGGACCCAAACAGCACCGTAGCCACTATGCCAAATGCCTTCCCTAGATTATTTAGAAACTAATATTTTAGAACATTACTCCTTAATTTGAAAATATCCACATTAATATTGGAGCCCTGTAATCCTAAAAAATCCGTACCCCTGTTTTACAAAGGCAGTATCCGAGACTTAGGTCATCCTAAGGTGTTTGTGGTCTCTGCCAAAGGACACAGATGGTCGACTGAGGGGATGGTACTTAATCCAAAGCTGATTTTGTGGAATCTGGACAGGGGCACCTGTTGATACTCAGTTCTTTACTGGACATTGCAAGAAATAGGCAGTGCTTCATTACAAATATGAAACAGGACCACAATCCTGCACTAGTTGTATTCAGAAGTCACTTGAGTGGTAGCGTATCAAAGGAAGTTAGCATGAGGCTGGAGCAGCAGTTTCCATAGAAATCCATATGATTTGCATAATAATGTAAATCATACCACTTTAGTAATGTTTTAGTGTGGCACAAGAAGGTTCCTACCTTTGGGAAGACAAAGATGTATTTATGTATTAGGGATGATATAACAGCAGATTGCATGTCAGAGAGGCTGGGTGAAAATGCCTGGGAAGAGTGGAGGGTTTATAGGAAACTGGGCATGGAGCTGAAGTGTAATTCTGAAGATGGAAGCATTTGGATTTAAACTAGAAGTGAGCCTTGGTATAAACATGGAACAGAAAAAACACAGTTGTGGGAGACTGAGATGCAAGTTACAGGAAAGAAGTGATGACACTGGCAAGTAAAGGGTAAATTAGTTACTGGTGGTGTTGGATGGGAGAAAGGCTTGTGAGGTGACTCCTGTTAACAGAGTTGAGGAGACCTCATTCCCAATGGCACTGCTGTAACCTACCAACTTTGCTGCTTGAGAATATTTATTTCAACAGGTTTCTTTTACTATTTGGAGTTGAGAAATCTCTATCTCCCTTGGTAGTTTTGGAGTCATCCGTTCCAAGGAAACATTCCCAGTGCAGAGAAGGGCTGTTCCCTCCAAGTCAAAAGAGTTTTGATTGGCCTTGGACATTTGGTGGTGTGGTAAAGCTGTGCACACCTTTGGTTATTAAAATTTAGCTATTTATTTGAGAGATAATAATCCATTCGCTGATTCACTCCCTAAATGTCTAGATCCGGCAGGAGTTAGTACCTGAGAACTCGGTGCAGATCTCGCTCTGCTTTCATCCCCTGCTTCCTCATCAGTCTGCACTAGCAGGAGACTAGAAGTGGGAGTGGAGCCAGCACTCAAACCCAGGCGCTCAGATAATGCATGTAGGCACCCTAGCCTGCTAGGCCAAATGTCACCTTAGCTTTTGAAATTCATAAAATGACTAATTGCAAAGCAGTTAAGTTATATTGAGGTGCTATCATCAAAAATTTTAAAATGGTTTCTTATCAATGCATTAGCATACAGTGATTGGTCTCATAACCATCGTAATTTTAGAATGACAAATGTGAGCAGCATTTCTAGATTGCTATAGGAAGTAACATGAAGTAGTTAATATCTCTTGCCAAATCACAGGTACTGAGAATACTTCTTGTTTGTTACCAACAGCCAAGCTGAAAATAATGCTCAATTTCAGTTAAGAATTATGAAATTAAATATAGTAACTTTTATTGTTCAAATGAAGCATGTTGGAAAACCTTAGGAGTAGTTATCTGAGGTTAAACATATTAATATGTTAGTCTTTCCATGGGTGTTAAGCAACAAATAAAGAGTACCGTTTTTCACAATTATAATATTAGGTGTTTCCAAAGTTCCTCTTCTGATTGTAAGATGCAAATTGGGATGGTTTTTAATATTTGACATTAGCTGAGGATAGTACTGGATGTTAAACAGATCATCAGAGGGCTCTCTGTGAAAGCTAACAAAAGTGTTTTGATTTAACAGGAATACAAACGCAAGTTAGCCAGAGTTTCCCTGGTGCGCAAAGAACTCAGGTCCCGGATCCAGAGCCTGCCAGACTTGTCCCGATTGCCCAATGTCACTGGCAGCCACATGCACCTGCCCTTTGCGGGAGACCTCTACACTGAAGATTGATGACCAGTCTCTACAGGGCCCAGGACTTTGCAAGAGATGGAGACAGGTTAGGTGGATAGTCCTGTAGTGTTATTTTTGTATGTTGTTGAAAGAGTGACACCAACAAAAGAAATGGCAAGTAATTTTGTGTAAGATGTTGGTTTGTTTACCATTTTATTGGAAGTTACATGACTTAGTTTAAACAAAGTGATGATTTCTGTGTACTAATAAGCTTACAAATAGTGATTATTTTCAAAAGATCTTTTTGTAAATTTCTTTGAGTCAGGGTCTTGTGAGAAATTCCATGTTTATGTTTGTATATTTTCATTTGTTTTCCTTTATTTTATTCAGCATCTAATCATTGTATGCCATGTAATTCCTAAAGGGGAAGAACTAATCAGGAGTTGGTTGGAACTTTGCTGTGGTATGGTAAGGACTTTGTTGTAGAAGGGGCTAAATGTTCCAGCTTACTCTTTGCCCTATTCCCCAACCCAGATAAAGATTCTGTGCCTCTCCGTGTATTTGACTCTTTATTTCCAAGAGGTCAGTAATTTAATATTGCACATGGGTGCCACTTTGAGGGTTAGGCACAGCCTAAAGGACTTTTCCCCAATAGTACATAGGGGTTCCATTCCAGCTACCCATGTAGAATAAAGAGAGTGTTAAATAAAGACTCCTTTGATTCAACTGCTTAAAATTTGAGTGGACTAATGTGAAAATACCTTAGAAATGTTTAAAGTTTTTGACATTCTACCATGAGAACAACTTTAGTGCTAGAACTGATTTCTATTTGTCAAATCAGTCTCTTTTAATATAACTGATTCCTTTAATAAAAATGTCATCTTGGGGGATTTAAAGAAACAAAATAATAATACTTTTGTTATTCCTTCAGCCATATAACTAAAAACAGTAGTATTTTTAGCTCTAATAAGAACACATTCATCATTAATGTTCATTCAGTAAACTAACTTGAAACATTTTTAATGTTTCTTTAAGGTTTTTGAATGACTGTATTTGGAAATAAAGCAGTGCTACACTACAGGGTAGATATGGTAAATTTTATATTTGTATCTTTGCAGTTGTAAACAAATGTACTTTTATTTTTCATGTCTAGCCCTGGTGTTAGAGCAGTTGCATGCTCTCCTGTGTTCTAAGTCACATTAAGCTGTGGATTTGTACTCAGTAATGACTTAGGGTAAACATCTCTTTTTCATTTGTTGCTTTACATATTAGATATTTTTCTTTTCATTGTAAGAGGATTCAAATTAGATAGTCAATAAAACATCTTAAATTCCATAAGCCAGTTACGGCTTGCTAGTCTAAATGGCTTCACTCTGTGTCTTTCTCAGCACTAGAGATTATAGTTAATATGAATTTACACGTAAGAGGGCAAACATTGATTTTAAATAGTAGTTGTTCTGAACACAGTGCTTTTGAATGATTTGACCTCTCCAAAATAGATGGATATCAGCAGTTCCTATTCATATATGGCTTGCGTTCCCAAGTTTTTAGTCATTTTTTTGGAGCTTGGGGTGAATTTTCATCTATAAACAAATAGGAATTAGGTTTCCTGTGGACATAGCCACTCACTGAATGCTCACTGGGAACCTAAGCCATTGAACCATTAATGTGTTTAACTTGAAACGTAGTTGGTAGATCACTAGTAGTAGATCTTGAGCAGCATTTGTAACATCACTCTAGTGGAATTGTGTGCTGCAGCCAGACTCCAACACTGGGGTGTCTGCTGTGCTGTGCCCCTCTGTCTCTACGCATAGGAAATGGAAAAGATGGAGCAAAGAGGGGAGGTAGCAAATGCAGTTCTAAAGCCCAGTTAGACCTGTAATGAAAATGTACCAACTATGTTAGTTTTTGTTGTTGTTAAGGTAAAAGCAAAAATTTGTATGTTAACTTATTTTTAATATCTTGACCTTATTTATGATCTGCTGAAGTGGCGATTTATCCTTTCAAGAAATATATTTTTTCCATTTAAAACTAATTTATAAGCTGTGTACTCCTGGGAAGATTTGAAATCTTAGAAGTTTGTTGAAATATTTTCACCATTTAAGACAGACTTCTGACTTAGGTACTGATTTTACTGCCAGTATCTGCTCTAAATATTTATGATAAAAATGCATTATTTTTTTAAAGAGCTTGATGAGATTTGTGATAAGTGATAGTACTCAAGAACTTGACTCCCATCCTTTGACTGACCCTGCACAGACCTCAGCTTTTGGTTAACTCTAACTGAATACAATCTAGTCTGCTTTAGGAGTCTTGTCTTCAGCCTTATGGTTAACATGGTAAGCCTTAGCAGTATACAGTCTTCTGTTGTGAAAAGGAAGGCTGCATTTACTTGAGAAATGGGTTAGGTGGGGGTACTGTAATACCAAAATCTGAATCATGAGCATTTTCTCTATTGTGTGTGTATCTGAGGCAAATCATGGATCTGTGTGCCATTGGGCCTGGCCCCTCAAGAACAGTTACCGCACCTACAATAGAGGTGCTGTGGTTTGAATGGACACCATGCTCTTTTTCTCCACAAACAGTACTGAGAGCTGTCTGGAGTGGCAATTTGAACCGATTCTCTGGCGCTCCTTCTGCTCCTTCCATCACTACAGTAAGTAAAAGAATCTCTGGGGGAATTGGGAAGCTGAACATGTCAGATGTGCTTAAGATGCAGACTGCCCCTGTCCAAGGAAAACCTCAGCAGGTGCAGCACTCGTGGTCCCTCTTCACACATGCACTCTGAACCAGGATTTTTCTATAAGAAAGCTTTGAGAGTCAGCTACATCTGGGATAAACCAGTTCACCTTGATTTGCAGACTTTTAAAAAAAGCGACACTAAATAGTTGTCACTGGCTGAGCAACTCATCTGTTACAGTTCTTGAACTGGTTCTGAGAAATCTTTAGAGAGAAAAAACTCAAAGTTACAAAATAATGAGGGAAATTAGAAGGTCCTTTCTGAATTTTCCATTATACAAACTGACTTTCTATGAATAACATAAATCTACAAAACTGTTGTGTATTCTATTAGGAAATAGTCCTAAAGATGTAGTCTTGTTTCATAGTTGTTGCAATATATCAGAGCATTTAAAGCATAGAGCCAGTTCTCTGTTTAGAAAGGGAACATTGTGTAACTTAAGGAATTTATTTATAACAGAGCCTTTGTTGCCAACTGTAATTCCAGCCATCCACACCTGAGTCTGTTCTGAGGTGGAATAGCACACGGGAAGATGAACTTTCCCTGTTTGTTTACCCCTTTTCTTTGACTGTATCTGATGGAAGTATAAAATGTTCTTAATAAAGTTTTATGTTCTTTTGGAAACATTTGGTGTAGGTTATTTTTGTGATTCTGATTCATTGGACATAGGGGATTGACTGTGTTGCGGGGGCAGCTTTCCTTGCTGAACCAGGAGGGAAGCAAAGCCATGGTGTGTCTGGGGACGTTATGGTCAGGAAACTGCTGAAGATCACTTGACCTGGCCAGCAGTTCCACAACTGTAATGAGCATCACCATCATCCAGAGGAGGGTTGAGCAGAGTAGCCCATGCTGGGTGCCATCCCTAGAGCTTCTCATTATGTCTACATTTCTTTTTTCTTTTCTTTCTTTTTTAAGATTTATTTATTTTTATTGGAAAGTCAGATACACAGAGAAAAGGAGATATGGAGAGAAATCTGCTGGTTCATTCCCCAAGCGGTCGCAGTGGCTGGAACTGAGCTTGATCTGAAGCCAGGAGCCAGGATCCTCTTCTGGGTCTCTCACATGGGTGCAGGGTCCCAAGGCTTTGGGCTGTCCTCAACTGCTTTCCCAGGCCACAAGTAGAGAGCTGGGTGGGAAGCAGGGCCGCCAGGATTAGAACCGGTGCCCATATGGGATTGTGGCACGAGCATGGTGAGGACTTTAGCCACTGAGCCATTGCACCAGGCCCCATCAGAACAGTTTAAGAGGGTTCTTCTAAAGGTTCACAGAAAGTGGCTATTCTGAAAAAAACTGCATGAATTGTAAAATACAGATTTTCAACCACTATCAACTTTTAAACCCAAGGAACTGTTTGAAAATTCTTTGTACATGACATTTAAAAAATGTTGGTACTGACGATCTCCTTTTGCAGTTTTTCATCTTCAGAGAGCTTTTGGGGATTCAGGTTCCAAGCACAGTGTTGGCAGCACAGCTGAATTCCTATGCAGAGCTTGCTATGTGATTTTATTCTGCAATGAGCTGAGAAGAGAGGGCCACTGTTTTGGTTTTCTGATTTAAGCTGCAAGGATGCAGCCAGTCTGCTTACCTGAAGGAAGTAATTTTTTAAATTTTTCATTTATTTTTCTTTTTGGGCAGGTGCTTGAGTGCTGCAGGACCTTAGGTAAATTTCTTGCCCAATTCCTGTGTTCTTATCTGGGTGATAACTGGTGATGCCTAAGTTAGAGGCACATGTTATGTATACATTTTTAAAAAAGATTTATTTGTTTTTATTGCAAAGTCAGATTTACAGAGAGAAGGAGAGACAAAGAGGAAGATCATCCATCTACTAGTTCACTCCCCAAGTGATCACAATGGCCAAAGCTGAGCCGATCCAAAGCCAGGAGTCCGGAGCTTCCTCCAGGTCTCCCACGAAGGTGCAGGGTTCAAAGGCTTTGGGCTGTCCTTGACTGCTTTCACAGGCCACAGCAGGGAGCTAGCTGGGAAGCAGAGCAGCTGGGACACTAATCTTGCACATGCAAGACGAAGATTTAGCCACTGAGCCTTCATGTTTGGCCCTGCATAATATAATTAACACACTGTGCTATGTGTTCATGGCATTTTTAGAAATATAAATACTTTTATTTACAAGAAATTACTGTCACTAAGGACCATCTTATAATTACAAGATTCCTCTGATCCACATTTATTTTAGGACTTTGATTTGGTCCTTCACCACCGCCCCCTGTTTTTTTTTTTTTTTTTTTTTTAATTAGTGAATGGATTTGGAGAGCATTCTTTGAGCACTTTATAACTTACCCATACTGTGCTAAAAAGATTTGTTGTTAAAGTGTTAATAATGTGTGTGCTTGGGCTAGCACAGTAGGTTAAGCCTCTGTCTGTGGTACTAGGAAACAGCAGAGGCTGGCCTTATCAACTCTTTACCAGAACTTGTGCAGGGCTGTGGGCAGCTTTGTTCCATGGTTTCAGCCCTTGCTGGTCTCCAGTAAAACCAGGCCTTTAAATGTTAACAGCTTCCTACAACTAGTAGTTCCTAGCTGCTTCTCTATCCATTACGGTTGATCACCCTTGTATAAACATCCCCTTCCTTAATCTCTATTCAGTTAAATCCTTTGAGGATGTCACTAGTTTGCTAAAACTCCAGGCACATTGCTTACTAGTTCACATTAATTCCCTTTCAGCCATCCATGTGCTTTCTTGTAGAGTTCTTTAGTTTAAAGGAGTGCAAGTGACCACTACAGTGGTACTTAGTGTCATATCCTGAAAGTTCTTCATCCATAATACACTTTCTATACTGAGAGCAACTGCGGATATTAACTCAATCTTAGAAATGGTTAGTCACAATTTTAGTGTTCATCTATAGCTTTCTACCCCATGAAGTTATTTGAGCCATCCTGTTTTGCAGCAGTTTAGGACCAGAGCACCATAGATAAATTTTTGGAATTTTTGAAAAGAAAAAATTTTTGGAAGCATTAGCTACCAAACAAAACTGATTGATTGATTTATCTGAAAGATATACAGAGGGATCTTCTGTCCATTGGAATCCACACACTTGAATCATCTGCTGTTCTCTGGCCATTAGCAGGGAGCTGGGTCAGAAGTCAGGCAGCTAAGACACAGACTGGTGCCATATGGGACCATGTTGTCACGGGTGATGGCTTTTCCTGCCATGTCACCATGCCAGCTTCCCCCAAATATTTACTGAATGCTTGCTGTGCATTAGGAAATGCATTGAGGCTGTTCCATAGATTGCATCACTGATTTTTCAAAATTATTATGTGAAATGGATACTATTATTCCCATATACAAGGGAACTCAGGTGCATAGCAAGTCATTGGCAAAATCAGCATTCGTACCTAAGCATCCTGGTCCCTGAGCCTTTCCAAGTACATGGAGAAGCTCCATACTCACAACAGCTTCACTGTGCACTGTACCAACCTAGCAAGGTCGTGCAGAACAGGGGTGGCAACTGCCTTAAGATAATACAGTGTTACACAAATATGATAATAGATCTTAGGAAAAGCACAGCTACGTGTTTTCATTTACATTTCTCTTGCCTTAGTTTTTCATTAATGATAATTGTACCCATTGGGATTAGCTTTGTAGGGCAGCATGTTTAAGCCACCTCCTACAGTGCCAGTACTGTAAATATCACTCTGCCTTTCAAATAAGTAAAAAAATGGATCTAAAAAAATTACACCTATTTATGGGTTATAGTGAGACATTTCTATGCATGTATATAATGTGTACTGACTAAAGCAGAATAATAGCTTCACGTTTTTGATGGGAGTCTTGGGACTATTGTATTTGCTTGTGAAGTATGCTCTAGGTTATTATGAACTGTGGTCAGCACATGATGTGTTAACACCAGGAGCTAACTCCTTCCATCTAACTCTGATTTGGGGAGCCAACTCATTCTACCCCTGCTTCCTTTCCTAGTCTTTTTGGAAACGAATCCTGTAATGTGTGGTACATAACATGAAATAAGCACTCCATCCATACACATTTACTAATTCGCCAAACTACCAGCTTTTCAGTAGCTGTGTGTAGTACTGGGAAGTATTATAGTATTATAAACAGTGGTAGTGGTATGTTGTTACTGGATAAAGTTGATGCCAGCTGGAACCCCTTTTTTTCCCCCAGTTTTGGGGAGAAAGAAACCTTCCATCCACTGATTAACGAAACCCCAACAGACAGGGTTGGTTCAGGCTGGAGCCAGAAGCTCAGAATTTCCTATGGGATCTCCAGCATGAGTAACAGGCCCCCCAACACTTGGGCATCTTTGTAGCTTTTCCGGATGTGTTAGCAGGGAGCTAGCACAGAAGTGGTGTTAGGCCTGGCATAATGGCTCATTGGCTAAATTTCACCTTGCAAGCACTGCAGTCCTTTCCACTCCCCATCCAGCTCCCTGCTTGTGGCCTGAGAAAGCAGTAGAACATGGCCCAAAGCCTTGGGGCTCTGCACTCACGTGGGAGACCTGGAAGAAGCTCCTGGCTTTGGATCTGCTCAGCTGCAGCCATCGTGGCCACTTGGGGAGTGAGCCAGTGGACAGAAGATCTTTGTCTTTCCTACTGTCTGTAAATCTGATCTGCCTTTCCAATAAAAAAAAAAATTTTGGGGGGGCCCAGAGAGCTAACTACTTAATGATTAAAATTGCATCTGGTGCCAAAAACTGCGTCCACAAAACATAGCAACTTCAGTCTGCCACCAGGTTGTTGGAGAGAACAGTCTTCTCAACAAGGGCCCAGCAGTGTGGCCTAACGGCTAAAGTCCTCGCCTTGAACGCTCAGGATCCCGTATGGGCGCCAGTTCTAATCCCAGCAGCTCCACTTCCCATCCAGCTCCCTGCCTGTGGCCTGGGAAAGCAGTCGAGGATGGCCCAAAGCTTTAAGACTCTTCCACCCGTGTGGGAGACCTGGAAGAAGTTCCTGGCTCCTGGCTTTGGATCGGCATAGCATCAGCCGGAGTGAATCATCGGACGGAAGATCTGTCTCTCCTCCTCTGTATATCTGACTTTCCAATATATAAATAAATCTTTAAAAAAAATCTTCTCAACAGACCCGCTTACTTCCCTGGAATAATTGTAAAAATGTAACTACATGAATAAACAAAGAAAATGTCTCTTTGCAGTAATCTATTGTATATAAGTTGATGCCTCGCTTTTGCAAAATGCACTCAGATGCAACTGCCTTGAGTTATCCTGTCTTGTCTGTCACTCGCCGAATCCTTGCCTACTGTTCTCAGGGTCCTGTTCCCCTCGGACTGATTGCTCCTGGCCCAGCCGGTCCATTGCAAAATCTTAAAAAATAAATCTTAAAGTGGATGCTGTTTTTCGTCAGCTTTGTGTATCCACCTTTCCAACATGCGATTCTCTAGTCACAGGTCCTGGTGAATAGCCCTCCTGGCTGTGTCGCTTTGCTTCCTGTATGAAGCACCAGAAGGCTGGAGAATGTTTTTGAATAGCTGGCTCTTGTTTTCTAGGACCCCACGAGCCTTCCACTCATACTCAGAGGTACCACAGCCATTTATGGGCAAAACTTTAGCCCACTCATGTTGGTTTTTTCCCTGTGGCTGAACGCAGGTTTATTTCCTGCCAGTTAAATAAATTCTGCCCCTGTTAAC